CAAAAGAGAAGGAAGATAAACCATGGTCCAAGGTAGACGAAGTGTCTGTGATGAAGAAAATTGAAATTGATTCGAAACAAGATGCTCCTTGATTGCATCTCTACTCTCCTTCTCTATGGTTCAAGATGTTCCATCTTGAGAGGGGAGTGTTGGAATATTCTCCATTCACCAGCAGCTCACGTTGATCACCAGCAAACCAACAGCTTCACCAGCAACCAGCATTGCACGTTCCAGCTCTTTTTCAGTTCACGTGTTCAGAGTGTTCAGCTCCTTCTTCTAGCTTCAGCATTCTAGCTCCTTCAGTTCCTTCCTTAGTTTGTTATATTATTAGTTTGTTAGATAGTTTGTTACCTATTTTCTCTATAAATAGAATAGATTGCATTGTAATTTCCTTAAGTTGAATGGATGAGATATTCCTCATCTTCCCTGCTTATTCACAGCAGGCCTATCCTTTACTTCTTCCTGTTATTTTCGTTCTGTTATTTTCAGCTTCATCTCATATCCTTCCTTGATTTTATCAGACCTCCATCCTGATACTTCCTCTATCCCATTGTTAATTCCTAATATTAGAGTCTAGTTAGAGAAGTAGATTTTGTCTGATTGTGTAATAACCTTAACACCAGAAACTAATAAGACAAAAAAAGATCGCTAGGAACATATTTGGAAGCGAACTGAGTAATAAGGACAAAACTGCATCATCATCATCATCCCCCAGGGTATAATCTAAGGATCAATTTTATCCAGCAAGTAGAAATCTTTCAAATGTAAGAGTTGAATACAGTACTTCATCAAGTATACATAAGTGGTCTAACTTGTGGAGAAGAGTGAGAAAGGTATATGGTCTTACATGGAATATAAGGGATAGTACTGATGATGCTAACAAGTCTTTCACATATCCGTCCTTGAATTCTGTGATTCTGTGATAAAGGTTTTCCAGCTAAAACTTTTAAAGCATTTCCTTTGCTTCTTGTTGAAGAGGTAACTATTCTTGTATTTGCCGCATTGAGTATCTTTAAAGCGATACCTGTTCACAAAGAAAAAAACAAATTGTGGAAGTAGTTTGACCTATTTCATCACTTAAACAAAAAGAAGAAAGATGTTATTTTTTTGTGGGTACTTAGACCTACTTCGTCACTTAATCAAAAAGATTCCATACCATACATGTCAGTGTGGATAGTTGCTACAAGAATCTCGATATATTTCTC